GGGCGAGACCCAGTGGCCAGGGGTGCTCGGGGACTGGGGAGAAGCCGGCCGCGGACCCTTTCGGGGCCCCTCGCCCACCGCGTCTACGTGGTGCTTTGACGTTTCGGAGAACAGTCTGATTTTCCTGCTCTCCTTTCGTCATCATTTGCTTTGAGTCCAGTGAGATTTTTTTTCTTCTTCTCGGGGTCTTTCAGGACCTTCAGGGGAAAATGCGGCAGGCGGGACATAGGCACGTTTTGAAGTGCAGCCTTCATGTCTCCAGATCACCGCTCCTCACTCCACCCCTCCCTGATCGGTGGTGACAGAGTAGCTGAAGCTTACTTACTTAGTCCGAGGGGGTGAAGAAGTGACTCGGCTGTAGGAGGGGTGATAAGACACCCCACTCCTTCCAGCTTTATGGAGTATTTTGATGGCTTTAGAAACCGTCTGTCAGGAAGATTGGGTGTATTTTTCGGTTCGGGGAAGCTACTCTGCTTGACTTGGCGTGAGAGTGAAGAGAATTGGTGGAGATTTCACCGTGTCATTAGAAGACTGATTACCTGAGTGACCTTGGATAAGACATTTCGCCAACTCTCAGTTTTGTCATTAATAAAATTAACTAGGTTTTCTTAAAAGATCCTTCCAATTTTGAAATTTCATCTAGTCGATGTAATTGAAAAATTTCAGCTACAATTCACCCTGACTGCGCTCTCCCTTCTTCCCTCCCTGCGGTGCCTCCAGTACACAATACCATACTGTCAGTGCAGAGAGTGGCTGTTACATGGCCCGAGACCAAAGAAAGCATTTCTTGTGCAGGCCAGTGCTAGGCAGATTTGGAGGTGGTCAATAAATACTTGTTGAATTGTGGAGAATTAAGTGTAACCCGATCAACAAAGCTCTGTGACTGTACGTGCTGGCCAAATGAAATAGCTTTATTACATAGGGAGCCGTAAGGACAATGTGCTCCAGGAGGTTTTTTTCCAAGTTATATTGACTCTGAATTGCTATGCAATATTCTTGTTCATTATTTCAGGCAGTTTTCACCAATCTTAAAATACAAACTAGCTACTTAATATCATAGGCTTTTGCTTATTCTCTACTTGATTTAAGCATTTAGATTTTTTTTCTGACTTTCTATTGCATCTAAATACACAGTGTTAAACCTTACCTTTTCATTCAAAGGTAGTACCACTGTTCTTTGTGTAGCCAGCTGTCTTTTAAAGGTACCTTTTTTATATTTTAAACGGTTTATAGCTCTGTTTTGAAAAATGAGAGGAGGGCAGTTTGTTTAAATGTTGACGAGTACAATACACCCTGAAAAAAAATAATGGCCTGTTTAAAAAATAACCTGTGGAATAAAGTGAACTTATAACTCCAAGCCCTTTTTGTAAGAAAATCGTTTGTGTTTATCCTTGATGAGAACTAGTTGCTGGGGGTAATCTTACCTAAATCGGATAGGATGTCAGAATGTTCTTCAGCTCAGACGGACCCCAGAGGTAGTATTCTCCTCCCAGCTCCCATCTTCCCCCAATGTAACAGATAAGAATACTGGATGCCAGAGATGAAATAACTCAGGGATGCGTAACTTATTTGTGAGAGACTAGAATTCAGGTGTTTCAACCTGTACTGCTTTCACTATGGGATTTCTCCCATTGCTTAATCTTTTAAGTAGGCTGAAAATTGGAAAGTATAAATTACATCTCTTTAGTTTATTGGAAAAAGTTAAAATACTTCTCTAGTGTCTGCTAAATGCCGGACACTCTTTTAAGTGCTTTACATATGTTAACTCATTTAATCCTCACAACTCTATGAAGCAAATACTGTTTATCCCCACTATACAAGTGAAGAAACACGCATAGATTAATTTGCTTAAAATCACCAGCTGGTAAGTGGTAGAGCAACTTCATGAAACTTCCAAGTAGCCAATTTGAGGATAACGTTGAATTGTGTATGAATGGGCAAAAAAAAAAAAAAAAAAAAAAAAGTAATGTAAATTCAATGAAGTATTTTTTTAAAAAAATTAATGCTTGCAAAAAATCTTACTAAGTGGTCTAGTAGGTACAAAGAAGCCTACCCTTAACTATAGGCCAGTTGAGGACGGAAGGCGTGAAAAATTACAGAAACAAAAACAGCACCAGGTAGTTTAGAGGAGAAAAGCTGTGTGCTCACATCATCTGGGAAAACTAAGATAAAACCCAGCCCTCCTGCCGTTGTGACTTTTCTCTTGCCCAGAGTAGGAGTAGAAAATGGGAGACAGGGGAGAGGAACTGTTGAAATTGGGGGAAGAGGGAATGTGCCTATGCCCTCATGTCTGTCCCTTTAGGTCTCACTTCTTCAGAGTATCTACCTGTTAAGTCCCACTGACTCAGACTATCCTACTCTTTAAAACTCTGGCCCAGGTGTGAATACAAATCAAGATTCCTTTCCTTTATTCTTATTATGGCTAAGACAGAATTTTCATAAAAAGATTGCTGATTGCTAGGCTAGTTCTGCTCAGTTACCCTGTTGAAGGCCCTACCCACTTGATGTCAGATAATTCCCATTTATATATTCGGTGTCTCCTTAGTTGCACAGCTCTCTAGTGAGAACTGTGGGTATCAAACGAAGCCCATTCCTGAGTGGTCATCCTTCATAGGCACTTTCAGAATCTGTATGTGCACAGAAGCCCTTCCCCACCCCATGTGGAGACAGAGTGAGTTTGGTATGATGATTAGAGTTGTTTTGTTTTTATATACATTTGTATTGATTTCAGAGGAGAGAGAGATAGAAACAGACAGTCATTGATGAGATGCCTCCTACATGCTCCCTACTGGGGCTCGAGCCCACAACTAAGGCATGTGCCCTTGACCGGAATCGAACTTGGGACCCTTCAGTCAGCAGGCCAGTGCTCTATCCACTGAGCCAAACTGGCTGATGGTTAGAGTTTGAACTGAGGAGTCCCACAGACCTAATGTCAAATCCTGGTTCTCCCTTTCCAATCACTGTGTGACCTTGGGTATGTTATTTAACAGTAGTTGCCCGGCCGTCATGGCGGTGGTTGAGCAAGGACCTATAAACCAGGAGGTTACGGTTTGATTCTCGGTCAGGGCTCATGCCCGGGTTGCAGGCTCGATCCCCAGTAGGGAGCATGCAGGAGGCAGCTGATCAATGATTCTCATTGATGTTTCTCAATGTCTCTCTCTCCCTCTCTCCTTTGCTCTCTGAAATCAATAAAATATATATTTTTAAAAAACAGCAGTAAACCTTTATTTTGTCATTATAAAATGAGATGATAATTGTACCCACCTCCTAAGATTGTTGTGTGAAATGCTTAATATAATACCTAGTACCTAGAAAGCACTCAGTAAATATTGGCTCTTACTATTACGCCTACTAGTGGCTTCTTGAATTGGACAGCGATGAGGGGAAAGGGCATTTCAGCTTAGATCTGATGATAAGTAGGCACTGAGTATGATGTGAGGAGAGGATGGCAATCAAATTACAAGGCATATTTAGGAAAGACTGAATAGACTCATTTTGCTAGACGGAAAAGTTTCATGCAGAGAGGGGGAGAAATGGTTAGGAAATGAAGCTTAAGGGGAAACGGATCAGGTACAGGAAGTTGTTGACTGCAAGGCTATAAGTTTTAGGAAGAATAATCCAGAAGGTAGGAGGTGGGAAAATCATTGGGAGAAAATGAAGTCAGTGAACCAAAGAGAGGACGCTGGATTTCATGGAACTAGTTAGAAAAATAAGTGTGAACAAAGAATTGCTTCCCCTGGTGCTTGGAGACTGAATGCATGTAAGAAGAGAGGAGTCAAGCAAGGTGAGATTCTGAGCCCGAGAGATTGAGATATTAGTAGAATATATGATCATAATTGCCACTAAAAGACAATATGAAGATGGCAGGGGGAGCTGTAATAGCTTGAGTAGTTCTTATTTCATATATTCAGCTTAACAGAATTCAACTCTGCCAGGTGCGTGAGGAGATGAGTACAAAGAAGACAAGACTCTCTCTCCTGAGGAGCTTCCCGTAGTTGGGAAGTGGAGACAGGAACTGCAACCCAAATAATGATAATACAAGGAGAAAATAAGTAAGTGCCTTGAATAATAACAAAGAAAGTACTAAGGATATTCCAAGGAGGAAGATATTTAATTTGGAATGTCAGGAGACATTATACATCTTGCAAGGTGCATAAAAATTTGACCAATAAAGTTGATATGGTAGGAAATTAAAAATCACACCTAAGCTTAGGGGACATTAATGGGCCAAAGAGGCTGAAATATAGGGGATCGCTACTAAGAAAAGTAGTAAGGTAAGAATAGAAAAGTACAATGTGGTGTATCTGAGGGGAAGGAGATAATGATCAGAAGCGTACTCTGGCAGTACTGTGTTGGGCTTGGTATGTTCAAATTGGAACGGAGAAATTGAAGCTAGAGAAACTTATGGGCTATAGCACTAGACTAGGTAGGAGATAGAGAGCTTGAATTAGGATGGTGGAAAATAATTGTAAGAGACATATAGCAGGAAGATATTCTTTCTTTTGACTTTTCAGAATAAAAAGAAAGAAACTAAGACTTGTAGGAATTATTTATCCTCCAGTTGTGTTAAGCTAGCCAAAGGGATGATCTCTTGAACTACTTACTCTCTGCCTTTTCCTATCGCAGTCTTTTGGGGTCTTGGCCATTCTGATGCCCCCAGCTCCCAGGGGGGTGGGCCTCTTCCTGGAAGCTGCCTTGTTAATGCATCAGTTAAGTTACTTCTCAGGTGCTGGAACCTCGTTAGAACAGTTAGCACATTCTACTTTGTGCTGTAATTATTTGTGTAAAAAGAGGACTAGTGCTTCTCATCCTTCTGTTCTCCTCAGTTTAATAGGACACCTTGAATATTTCGGAGAGGCAGAAATGTTTAGGAAACACAGTAATTATAGCTCTAAGGACTTTATTGGGAAAACTGCTCCAAGGTTGAAAAACACAATATTTACTACAGCAAGGAGGGTGAGGTACAGAACAGGTCTGAAGGTATTAAAGGGAAGGGCTAGAAGAAGGGAAGGTTTACAATAGGACTTTTTACTAATTTAATGTCATTGGAGAAATGACTTAGTTCCCCCACTTTAAATAGAAAGCCTTTTTTAAAAATATATATTTTAATGATATTTTACAGAGAGGAAGGGAGAGGGATAGAGAGTTAGAAAATGATGAGAGAGAAACATCAATCAGCTGCCTCCTGCACACCCCCTGCTGGGGATGTGCCCGCAACCAAGGTACATGCCCTTGACCAGAATTCAACCTGGGACCCTTGAGTCTGCAGGCTGATGCTCTATCCACTGAGCCAAACCGGTTAGGGCTAGAAAGCCTTTTTTTAATGTAATAATTCTTTTTTCTTCTTCTTCTTCTTGTAATATTCTTTATTGTTATTATAGACTGCTAGTTTAATAAGGATTTCTGTTTTTCATTAAGGACAAAAAAATGAGAAACACTAATCTTGTGATCTCAGATTAAAATCATGTTCTTTGTGATTAGAGCAGTCATCTCCAAACTTTTATGATCACACATTCCTACCAATTAAAAACTAAAAATTATATACATGTACTATTACACCAATATTTTGTATAATTAAAAATACATTAAATAGTGATCTTTTAAAATAACTTGTGCTTTAGATGTACCTTTGCTACCAAAATTACTAATAATTTTTTAATGAGAGCCATGTAATTTAAAATGCTTCATTAGTTTTCAACTCTTGGCTTAAATAATTGTGATACAGAAATTGGATGCTCTCTCTAAAACTTGAATTTGATGCTTACTTATGATGGTTGTAGAGGTGAAAAAGATACTTCACAAAGATTTGTCAATTCAGATGGAAGGAACACATTGTCAACTGACTGTTTAGTAATATACCCACCAACCATGCTAAATTTTTGTTGTTGAAATTCAGTTAGTACTTTTCCATTTTCCATGACCTTAAATCATCTGTTCCTACAAACTAATCAAAGGGTTTTTTTTTTTTTATATTTTTAACAAACAGGTTTAAGACCTACTAAAATTCCTCATTTGGGAGATTTTTAAACAGATTAGAAAATATTTCCAAGTTTTTTAAATGACTAGGTAATAAGGATAGTTAGTTATTTTTGGCTGTTAAAATTACATAACAATGTATGTTTTCCAGCATACATCTGTCCTCATAGTAGTTCTTTCCTTACACCCTTTTTTTTAAGCAGCTGTTTCCTCACTGATTGGTTAACTCCTTGTTTGATTTAGATCGACATTGGTTTTTACCTCCTCATCTAGCTGAGTAAAACCTTGAAATAGAAATTTCAGCGGTGCCATTTTCTTGTTTATGTGTGTTTGCATCATTAGTATTTCTCATAATTGTGGTTTCTCTGTAAGAACCTTTAAAGCTGCTTCTCTCTTTTTTGAGATATAATTGACATATAACATCATATTAGTTTCAAATGTACAACATAAAGACTCAGTATTTGTATTTATTGTGAAATGACCACCACAGTAAGTCTTGTTAGCATCTGTTCACCATAGTTAAACAAAAATTTTATTGTAATGAGGATTTTTAAGATCTACTCTCAGCAACTTTCAAATGTGCAATACAGTATTACTAACTGTAGTCACCATGCTGTACATTACACCCCCAGTTCTGGTTATTTAGTTTATAACCAGAACTTTGTACCATTTGACCCCTTCACACACTTCCCAAGTCCCCATGCTTGTCTCTTTTAAGCTAGGTAAAATAATCCATTATTCTACGAACTGATGTCAGGTAAACTGGGAAAAATCACAATATCTAAAAGTGAGCAAGTAAATGAGGGCACCTTAACAGCCCTCTGTGTTGGGGAGAAGGGGGCTTCCACTCTTCCCTGTAGAATGACCACACAGTACCCCCCCAAAAAACAATAGAAACAGTTGGATGGTGGATTAGCATTTCTGGGGCTTCGGATTTGGTGTGGCTGTTGACTCCACTAGGTAGGTGGCTACTGCTGAGCAAATTAATTAAATTATCTAAGTCTGAGCTATGTCATCTGTAAAATGGTACTAGCAGTTGTTCCTACCTGGTAGGATTGCTGTGGGATGAAATAAGACTGTGTGTGGCCCAGCCAGCATGGCTCAGTGGTTGAACCAGGAGGTCACAGTTCAATTTCCGGTCAGGGTGCATGCCTGGGTTGTGGGCTCGATCCCTAGTGTGGGCATGCAGGAGGCAGCCAATCAGTGATTCTCTCTTATCATTGATGTTTCTATCTCCCTCTCCCTTCCTCTCTGAAATCAACAAAAATAAAAAAAGGAAAAAAGATTATGTGTGTACTGCTTGAAGTCTCTTGCCTGTACCCTGTTGACATTCAGCTCTCACTGGGTTAAGCCCTGTAAAGGTATGGTGTCCTAAAGGTCTGCTGTTCTCCTGGAGATAAGATGCTTAGGGTGGAATTTGCCCATTGGAGCTATCTTAATGTATACAGTGGTAGTCAAAACAGTGTGGCTCTGGAGTCTGTTTTCGTGCCTTGAATGAAGTGTTAGCACAGGCCACTTTTCATAAAGATACTAATCACTTTGTTTAATATTTCAGGAATCATACAGAAACAGATATCAGAGAACATTTTCAAGGACAGAAAGGACAGACTTTATTTGGATCAAGTCAGTTCTCTGAGCCCACCTGATGACTGCTGAATCAAGGGAAGCTACTGGTCTGTCCCCCCAGGCGGCCCAAGAGAAGGATGGTATCGTAATAGTGAAGGTAGAAGAGGAAGATGAGGAGGAACACATGTGGGGGCAGGATTCCAGCCTGCAGGAGACTCCTCCTCCTGACCCAGAGATCTTCCGCCAACGTTTCAGGCACTTCTGTTATCAGAACACTTTTGGGCCGCGAGAGGCTCTGAGTCGACTGAAGGAACTTTGTCATCAGTGGCTTCGACCAGAGATAAACACCAAGGAGCAGATTCTGGAGCTGCTGGTGCTAGAGCAGTTTCTTTCCATCCTGCCCAAGGAGCTTCAAGCCTGGCTGCAGGAATACCGTCCCGACAGTGGGGAGGAGGCTGTGACCCTTCTGGAAGATTTGGAGCTTGATTTATCAGGACAGCAGGTGAGAAGAGGTGAACCTTAGGTGTGAGGAACACATGGACTTTGAGACTGGAGCAAAGAGAAAGTTACTGATTTAAAGCTAATATTTAGCTAAGTAGTCTTAGTATTAGACTAGTATTAGTATTAATATACTACGGGCCCAGTGTGCAAAATTGCATGAGACCCAGGACCCAGAGTCCCGCAGCTCGTGGGGACCCAGAAAGAGTCCTGCAGAGGCCGCCTCCGGAGGCAGGACTCAGAAACCCCTCTGCCGCCCCGCCGGGACCCAGAACCCCACCTGGGCCTCTGGTCAAGTCCTCCAGAGTCAAGTCCCTGCCCACCTGCCGGATGCCTCGCCACACATGCAGCACCACCCACCCGTGCACATAGGCTCCTACTGATCGGTCATTAGGGCATGATGGCATGACGGTGTGATAACCATAGGCTTTATATAATAGATAAGATACTACTTATATAATATATATAATAGGTATATAATGTCATATATATAAAATAAACTAATATACAGGCTACTAATATAAACTTGTTTAGTAGTCTGTCATGGTTATTCTCCTTGTTTTGCTTGAATATTAAAAAGTATTCTGGCCTATCTCCCTTACATCCTGGTATACTTATGTTCTTTTTGCTCATTTAAAGTATTCATTAAAAAGTGATTTACCCTCAAGCCTAACCTGTTTGTTCTCAGGTCCCAGGTCAAGTGCATGGACCTGAGATGCTCGCAAGGGGGATGGTGCCTCTGGATCCTATTCAGGAGTCCTCCAGCTTTGACCTTCATCATGAGGCCACCCAGTCCCATTTCAAGCATTCATCTCGGAAACCCCGCCTCTTACAATCACGGGGTAAGAAACAAGGTTTCTTATGGGGAAAAGAAACAAACTGTTCAGGATGGGTGTGCCCTCTCTGTGTTGCTAAGTGCCTGTAATAGAGAAGCATGTTTTTATTATTAAACATTATTGTCATTACTAAATATTAGGGGAAATACAATTTACAGACTAATCCCAGGAGTTAAATACTGTTACTAGGGAAGTAGATGAATTGTACATAATGAACTTGGGTAGATATTACATTGCTTCTTGAATTGTTAGCATTCTGATGTCTAACAGATTTTTCTTACTGGAAAGTGCTGGGAAGAGATGGTATACTTTCAGCCTGGTTTTGAAACACTATAGTACATCATAAATTATTTTATAAAGAATCAATTTTAAAATTCATTTAAAAAAATGTATAAAAACATTGTATACATTGCTCTTTCTAGGTTACTTTCAGAATTTTCAAACAATAGGAAAAGATGGAAAACATTTATTTTTCGTGGAGAAACATGAGGAAAAGCATCATTTCAGGGTCATATAAATAAAAATTATTTCAATTATTAGAGCTTAAATAAGTCTTTTCTATGCATTCTGGAGGGTAGCCAGCATTCATATGCTGGAGAAATCCGTGTAAACCAATACACTGTGATATTTAACCCACCATTGTCCACCTATGACCTTCTAGGGCCGTGGTCAGCAAACTGCGGCTCGCGAGCCACATGCGGTTCTTTGGCCCCTTGAGTGTGGCTCTTCCTAAGCCTTAGAAGTACCCTCATTAAGTTAATAACAATGTACCTACCTACGTATATAGTTTAAGTTTAAAAAATTTGGCTTCAAAAGAAATTTCAATTGTTGTACTGTTGATATTTGGCTCTGTTGACTAATGAGTTTGCCGACCACTGTTCTAGGGTATATAAGGTCTCCACACTATACAGGGGGCAAAATCAGGAAATTGAAGAGGGTAGTCATGATTTTAAGTTCCAAATCAGACCTTCAGGCTACCAGAGCAACAGTGTTAGAGACCCTGGTACATCCAGTTGTTATTTAATAAATAGTTCTTTAACAAATTGAGGCATATACATTTATTCTCAATTTATTCTTTGTGCTCTTCATCTTCCAGAGTGTTTCCTAGCTCCTGGAAGGCTATAGTGCTAGTTATTTAATCTTTCATACATTTTGCTTTAGCTTATTTTATTATTGTACCTCCCTAAAACAAGTTTAATAATTCAGTTTCAAATTCATTTCTCTAATATTACTTGGCAAGGGAGGATTTTAATATTGCAGTTTAAAATTTTTCTAATTGTTTTTACCCATTGCAGTTAGTATGATTATATGACATATTAAATATCTTTTATTAGATGAATGTCAACCCATACCTTTATATACTTATAAATGTCTCATTAATGTTTGAACCATATCTACATTTTATCAAAAAACTAGATAAGTGAGGGAAAAATGTAGAGGGACAAAAAATGGCAAAACTTACCCAGAAGTAGGAAGCCCCTTCCTACCTTGTGTTTTTTTACAACTAAATGGGATTCTGATGTCCTGTTATTTGTTCCTTGGGCTGGAGAAAATAAAAAATAAATAAATAAATTATTTAATAGGTATTTATTGATTTCAAAGAGGAAAGAAGAAGGAGAGAGAGCTAGAAACATCAATGATGTCCGGCCGGTGTGGCTCAGTGGATAGAGCGTCTGCCTACGGACTGAAGGGTCCCGGGTTCGATTCCTTGTCAGGGCACATGCCCGGGTTGCAGGCTCCATCCCCAGTGTGGGGTGTGCAGGAAGCAGCCAATGAATGATTCTCTCTCATCAATGATGTGTTTATCTCTCTCCCCTTCTCCCTTCCTCTCAAATTAATAAAAATATATTAAAAAGAAAAGAAAAATGTCAATGATGAGAGAGAATCGTTGATCAGTTGCCTCCTGCCCACCCACACTGGGCACCAAGCCTACAACCCAGACATGTGCCCTGACTGGAAATTGAACCATGACCTCCTGGTTCATAAGTTGACACTCAACCACTGAGCCATGCCGGCTGGCTGAGAAAATGATATTTTGAGCTAGGCTTCAATCATGGGCTAAATGTTATTCAGTTCTGTAGCTGAGAGTAGGAACCTGGATTCTAGATCTGGCTCTGACATTCTTAATTGTGTGACTTTAGACAAGTTATTTGACCTCTCAGGGCCTCAGTTTCCCCTTCTTTAAGAGCATAGGGTTGGACCAAGTGATTTTAAGGATCCTTTTGCATTATTCCTTATCCAGCTTAAGAGTAGAAGTCTTGAGAAAACAGAAGTCATGCTTTTTCTTTTTTAATTCTCTATTCTGTAGTTGAACATTGAACATGCTGGTGCAGGAAAAAGAGAGCCCTGGGCCCAGAGCAGAGCTGGTTTTACTCATAGCTCCTTTTTCCTCCCTCAGCTCTCCCTGCCACCCACGTTCCTGCCCCTCATCACGAGGGGAGTCCCAGAGACCAAACAATGGCTTCTGCACTATTCACGGCAGATTCCCAGGTGAGCCATGGGCCCCTCTGCCTTCCTCTGAGACCCTCATATCTGCCTTTCTTCCTGGAGATCTTTATAACAGTCTCTACCCAGGACACTCAATTCTTGATGTCCTGCCCACAGAGTAGACCCACTCACCCCTCAATCCACCAGAGCCTGGCACCGTCACCTTTTCTTTCCCAGCACCCTGTAGGTTTGTAGTCAGTTCTGTCCCTAACTCCAGGTTTGGGTAGTGGGCTTATCCCTGAGCTTTGGGGGAACTGAGTGTGGGGATCTCATATTTCAGGCGATGGTGAAGATCGAGGACATGGCTGTGTCCCTCATCCTGGAGGAGTGGGGATGTCAGAACCTGGCTCGGAGGAATCTCAATAGGGACAACAGGCAGGAGAATTATGGGAACGTGTTTTCCCAGGGTAAGAATAATGCAGGATTATTGTCTGATAAGATTGTTTTGCCTCTCTTTGTTAGTTGTGGGATCTCTGACATGTTCAATTGAGTGTTGACAAGGATTTAGAGACCACTGAGCCCATTTCTTCAGACCAGGTAGAGAATGGGAACATTTACGTTCATTTAACTTCAAAGCCTGGCACTGTGACTGACTCCCTGATTACAAGTAGATTTTATTTTTTATTTTTTTTACCTCTACGTCATTTTTGCTGTTTGAAATCAGAGATATTCTTGTGTTCTGAGTCCTCACTTCTTCCATCACTTTGTTACCTGGGAGGATTTTGCTCCACTTCCCTGTGGGTTACAACTTAGGTACCTCTATTGGGGGAGCATCTGTATTTTCTAGTGTAGAGGGCCAAGTGAGAACTGATCATTGGTTCTAATCCTAACTTGGGACCATGTTCCTAAACCTACCAAGCAAGCATCCTTCTGTGGGCTTTCTGTCTTCTTCATCCTGTGAACCATGCTCTGACAGCTTTGCATAACTCTATGAGCTTACATCTGTACCTTCCTTTTGATGACGGTTCCCAATTTCCAAACCTAATAGTAATCTATGAAGAGCTCTGGCCCCTAGGTATATAGCAGGGGTGGGGAACTGTTTTTCTGCCAAGGGCAATTTGGATGTTTATAACATCATTTGCAGGCCATACAAAATTATCAACTTAAAAATTAGCTTGCTATATTTGGTCAAACATTTCATTAACTCACCCCTAATGCCTTGGCAGGGCCAGATCAAATGATTTTCTAGGCCTTATATGGCCCATGGGTTAGATGTTCCCCACTCCTAGTGTATTGTAAAGACAAAGAAGTTCTAAGCTATCAATCAATATAAGACAAAGAGACACAGTTGACATACATTCCCGTTTGTCTCTGCTGAGAGACAGGACTGCAGAGGAGCTCTCAAATAATTCCTGTTATAGGAAGTCCACGTGAGGCTTCTACCCAGGGAGGGCAAATGAGGGGAAACTTCATAAAGAAAGAATGTTACTATGAAACCTAAACTTTTGTTTTGAACCATCAGGAAAAATGGGTTTATGGTTTCTTGGTACTTACTCTTTGGATTAGGTGAAAATTAAGGCAAAGAACTGATCCATGTTTGTAAGCTGGATATTACCTATTCCAAGATAACTTTTTTAAAAAATTGGGTTCGATCCAGATAGTAGAGGACCTTGGCTTGGAATTCAAAAGAAGAAGTCAGTTTCCTCTTTCTTATGATTGGTTTAGTATTTATGGCAATTTCTTTCTTTTTTTTAAATATATTTTATTGATTTTTTACAGAGAGGAAGGGAGAGAGATAGAAAGCCAGAAACATCAATGAGAGAGAAACATCGATCAGCTGCCTCCTGCACATCTCCCACTGGGGATGTGCCCGCAACCCAGACACATGCCCTTGACCGGAACCGAACCCGGGACCCTTCAGTCCGCAGGCCGACGCTCTATCCACTGAGCCAAACCGGTTTCGGCTATGGCAATTTCTTCACTAAAGTCAGGAGTTAAATATTATTCAGCTTTCTCAGGAGTTGCATTCAAGGGCCTGTCTGGGATAGTACAGACCTTCTTGGACAAGTTTCTTAAGGCCAAATAAAAAAGAGTTGGGATATATATAAACATATATAAAATATACCTTTATTGAACAATTTTTACTCTCTACTTAAAACAAAATGAATACAGCCGTCTACAATAAGAATATTCCAATGTCTTCATATGCTGATTGCTAAAGTGAGAGGATCAGCCCTGCATTAATAACATTTTGTCATCTTCTGGTGTCTCCTTCATGGGTATCTCTGGGATTGTCTTCATTTTCTTTTCTATTCTCTTTCAGTGAAGGTTTTAATTATGTTTACCAATGCCCCAACCAACTTCTTCACCTTCATCTCTGTCTGCTCCATGCTGTTCTCCCTGATGGAGAGAAGCTTATTTCCTGTGTCTGAAGGTCCTTGTAACCTGCCAAGTTGAGAGTTCCTTGTTTTGCCCATTAACCATCTCCTTGTTGGTAAAAAATTTCACAGAATGGAGACGTTTTCACTTTCCTTTATTAATGATGCTCCTTTATTTCTGCTAATACCACTTATTTTCTAGGAAAGACCTGACCATTCTCTTTTTAAGCTCATAAATTCTTATATTAGAATCAGAACATGATTTTTTTCCATGTATATTTGTTTCTTCAAATTAATTATCAGGTGACCAAATAATAGAACTGTGAATTGTTAATGTCTTATGTTCTTTAATTCTTCATCCCTTCTTCCTTAACTGGTTCTGTCCTCTGTTTGTTGCCCAGTAGATCTGTTCACTCTCATCTTCTCTGTACACTCCCTCTGTTGTCCTTTCCACTCTTCCTGCCCACCTGTTTCCCAATTCTATTCCCTGTTTTCTATATTTTTTCTTCTATTTTATCTTTGATTAATACTGTGGGGTCATTTTGCAGGTATGTGGGAGCTTCCTGGAAAACAGTGTCATTTGATTAACCTATAGATTAAAAAGAAAAAGGTGTTATTTGTTTTTTCTATTTATTGTGTCAGGTTAAGATAAGATCAGACATTTAGAAGTGCCAGCTACCAAAAATAAACAATGAAATCACAAAAGACTCAGCATCACGTAGGGAGACAAGAGGAAGAATCCAGAAAGATTTTGGAGAAAAACATGAACAGCAGGGCAGAACAGCAGAAAGGCAGCAGAAGAATCCTGAGGAGAAAACTGGAAAAGAAAAGAAAGATTCAGGGCCAGCTACAGCCAAGGAAAAAAAAACAACCGCAGGAGAGAGAGGTCCCAGGGAGAAGGGTAAAGGATTGGGAAGAAGCTTCAGTCTGAGCTCAAACTTTAACACCACTGAAGAAGTTCCAACAGGAACAAAGTCTCATAGGTGTGATGAATGTGGTAAATGCTTCACAAGGAGTTCAAGCCTTATTCGCCATAAAATCATCCACACTGGAGAAAAGCCCTATGAATGCAGTGAATGTGGGAAAGCCTTCAGTCTGAACTCAAACCTTGTCCTGCATCAGAGAATCCACACAGGAGAGAAACCTCATGAATGTAATGAGTGTGGCAAAGCCTTCAGTCATAGTTCAAATCTCATTCTGCATCAGCGAATTCACTCTGGAGAGAAACCTTATGAATGTAACGAGTGTGGGAAGGCCTTCAGCCAGAGCTCAGACCTTACAAAACATCAGAGAATCCACACAGGGGAGAAACCCTATGAATGTAGCGAATGTGGAAAAGCTTTCAACCGAAACTCATACCTTATTTTGCATCGGCGAATTCACACCCGAGAAAAGCCCTATAAGTGCACTAAGTGTGGCAAGGCCTTCACCCGGAGCTCGACTCTCACTCTGCATCACAGAATCCATACCAGAGAGCGAGCCTCTGAGTACAGTCCAGCTTCTCTTGATGCGTTTGGAGCATTCCTGAAAAGCTGTGTGTAAAGTGAGAATTTGCTGACAAGCCATTTCCCCCTTTTGTTTCTAAATTTATTTCAAAGATGTGTGCTCATGGAAGGGAATAAACATCCTCAACGGATTTAAAAACACACACACACTTTTTAAGGATCCTTATAGTTAGATTAGCAGTGTTCTACCTTTGCATAGTCTGTGGGCATATAATTCTTCCATACAGCCCCTTTAGTGAAAAGCTAATCATATGGATAAGCTACATGATATTTCCTTAAGACATAAAAGCACACACAGCAAAATGTCACACTTTTCAGTAATGAGGATACCTTTAAGGCGCTATTGGACTCTCAGCAACCATGATACAGAATTGAAAGATTAAAATTGGCTCTCTAAAAATGATACATAGGTTAAAAGCTTCTTGCTGTAATCAAGCCCTGGTTGGCCAACATCTTGCTGTACCTTCTTTCTCAAAAAAAGAGGGTTTTTAGTTAAAACAAAAACTACATTGGGACATGCTGCTTGAACTAGTTATATATATATAAGATATATATGAACACTGGTAGCCTACCAAAGCTATAGAAATCTAGGACTGTGCTGATCAGTATCAAACCAAAGATTTCTATCTCTTCATGAAAGAGAGGGTATGTGCACCAGTCTCCAGTTCCAAAGGACTGCCACAAATGTAGATGGTTTTATCCTCATCTATGAGAGAAATTCTACTGAAATGGCAACAATGATTCAAAATACTTCTCTCCCTTCTGGAAGAAATCCCTAAAGCACTAATCACACTCTGAAATGCATTTCTCCACAAGTTAGCACTTGATTATATACCGTCTTGTAATCTTTTATTGTTTCATGTATGAAATTTTTCATTACCCCCCAAAAGAGATGCTTTGACAAGGGATATATTTATATCCTTACAGCACTGGGCACAGTGCTGAACACATAAGGAGCACTCATTATGCCTGGCTTCTAACAGGACTTTTGCACTTATGATAAAGCCCTGTGAATCATGAGTACCTGAGATATGGTAGCCTGGCCCAGCTTTTGAAGAGGACATTCAGAGCCTGAGGCATGCTAAAGCTCCAGAGTCTTATCCTGTTTTTATCCTAAACAAAAGAAAGGCACCATTTAGCCACCTGCATAGACTTTCTAAACATGGATTAGTGAGTAAATACCATGGAATGTCAGAAATGACTCCATTATCTCATCTTAAGAAAAAGACAAAAACTTACTAAGGCCATTTTTTGACATCTTTTTATGACAAAGATCTTAGCCAGTATTTTCTTCAGTCAGCTGCTGAACAACCTGATGATTTGGGCACTTTCTGAATCATTTGTAACTTTAAATAATAATTCAGACTATGTGTTTTGTGTTGCTTTTCAGAAAAAGGAAGATGTAGGAAGCATTTTCTCCCACACTTTCCAGAAACTTCACAAAAGCATTTGACATCATTAGTTGGCCATTACTAAATGTGTTAGTTGCTCTGAGAAGTTCACCAAATTGCTAAGATTTGGTTGGTTGTATCAGAGTTGTGCTACACAGTGTCTTTTCTCTCTCATCACTAAAGACTGAGGTGGGGTTATAAAATTTGGATCTTTTCTATCTGTGCAAGAAGATGCAATTGGCTGCTTGGAAGCCAATGCCAGAAACTTCAGATACAATACAAGAAACCCAAGTATCGGGGGGGCTACTACATAGGTAGTCATCAGGGACTCAGGTAAAGATGACTGCTCATGAGAGCATGCAAAAAATTGTAAGCTCTGCAAAAACTTAAGACACAGAATAAGAACACACCTGAAGACTATCCTCGTAACAGGAGACCCCCAATAGAGATTGAGATTTTCCATCAGGAAACAAAACTAAGACGCATCATTTTGCTAATCAGCAACTCGAGCCCATGAGGCAGCATGGTTTTATGGGGAGCCAATGAGGTGGGGGCAGCTATGGCCTCAGCTCCAGACCAAACTAAAATCTGCATAGCAGTAATTCTTTCGCCTCTCTATACCTTGGACCAACCACGGTTTGTAGTTTCTAAGCAGTTTCATCAGTGTTGCCTGGGAAACTTCAAAGAAGTCAGCTGGTGACAAGAATATTTCTATCCATTTAACTTAAGAAAAATAGAAAAGATACTCCAGAAACGTATACCTGAGGAACGTTATATAGTAAAGTGAAAGTAGAAGAAATGCTTCTAGGATTTTCTTCATGAACCACAGTGATGGTTGCATAGAAAACCGCTGGTGCTTTTGAGCAAAGACTTGCTGCTGGGAAGCAGCTGAAAGCAGTGAGATGCTTACCTCCAGATACTGATCAAAGCACTGACTACTCTTAAGAGGGGATGAACTTTGGTTGGTTCTTCATTGGCTTTTTTTATTAGCCAGAACTACGTGCTGACATAACTCAGCCATGTTTTTTACTGAAAATTAAAGTAACCTGTGCCCCCACATTTAATTCCCGTTTTTCTGGGACATCGACTGTGTGGGCAGCCACTGTGGTTGCTCCAGATCTTCAGCAGACGCACGCCTTGAAGCAGCTGCTTAAAGATGTTTCCTAAAGAAAACAGGCTACAGCTGGTGGTTAAAACCATTTGCATTGCATTCATCAGCTGCTCAAAGCAAATTGCAATTGGCGTATGGTCAAAAACGCTTACAACATCTCATAAGTGTTCAGGATAGTCATTCAAAGTTCTTGACGGGGTGAAGCCTGTTAATAGCTTAAACAGTAGCATGTGAGTTGACCTATTGGAAGTTTTTGAAGGGCTTCTTAAAACAATACCTTAACTTTGCCAGGAAAAGAAGTAAAGTTCTTCAAGTCGTGGGGTATTTGTCTCTACTCTGGCCTGGCAGGCAAGGCGAAAGCCTGAGAATAGAGATGTATGAGGCATCTTGTTGAATGCACTTAGTATTTTATTAAAGGCATAAAAGTGAAACTATGCTAAATATGTACAGAGAGGTTAATATGTTTGTTATGTGAGACAATTCATATCTTATGTACATCAGAGAATTCATTCCAGAAGGAAACCTCTTGAATGTGATAATATGGCAAAGCCTATAATCACATTTCAGCCCTTAGCATCAGAAAGCTTACACTGTAAATAAACTTTATTAATATTATATGTGAGGAAACCTTTCATGTATAGCACTTGTTGCTTTGGACAGAAAATGAATTCCATCAGTATGTCCCAATTGTAATGAATTTCAGAAACACTGCAGAGGACACTCAATCTTAACTCCAGAGGATCCACAGAAGAAAAAATGTGGGGAAATAGCAAAATGTACAACTTCTTACAAGAATTGTCAATGTTGGGTACTTCTATATATTTTATATGACCTTATTGTCAGTGTCTGTGTTTTGTACCTTCAGCCCCTGTTGCTATTCTGTATATTCTCTGTAGGCAAAGAATGTATTTTATTTTACTCTATTTGACAGAACACATCATTTCAAAAAAAGCAGAGTTTTAGAGTGAATAGTAAAGAAGTTGATGTGATTACAGACAAAAAAAAATTCACAGAACTGAGGAGGGGGAATATGAGAAAAAATCTTCATAGTTTAGTGCTTATCAAATCAGAAGAGGAAGTTAGTAGATGCAATAAGAGAGACAAGTTAGCCCGGCCTGTGTGGTTCAGTTGGTTGAGCGTCCCATGCACCAAGAGATCACCGATTCAATTCCTGGTCAGGGCACATGCTCAGGTTGTGGGCTCAATCCCCAGTAGGGTGCATGCAGGAGACAACTGATTGATGTATCTCTCATCAATGTTTATCTCCCTCTCCCTTCTCTGAAATCAATAAAAAAAAACAAAAATAAAAAAGAGAGACAGGTTAATGGGGCACTAAAATGAAATAATTCCTATAAACATGCAGCTTCCTGAGAGTTTTCCAAGCCAGGAAGTTGACCTCTTAGCTGCCAAGTCACCATTTTAAGCAAAGAGAATGGTTTCTCTGAGCTTGTCGGGGAGTAAGAGGGTCTTCTCCATGAAATAAGAGTAGGGAGAGTATTAGAAAGGCCAGTTGACTGGGTTCTATAAACCATAGCCCTGCTTCCCCCACTAACTTAAATGTTTATGCTTAGATTTGGGGTCGGAAAACACCAAGATGGGCTCTTTCCTAGAAAGTAGTGACAGATGCACCCAGTTCCTGGCATTGCAGGAAGTTTTTCTGATAAGCATTTTTGCGGTGTTCCTATTGGCTGTACTGTGTACCTTTCCTGCTCCTGCCTACTTTCCCTGGTTTATGATGATAAGAGAGGGCTTGTGAAGATTTATAGCTGTGAAAGAACTTTTTCCTAATTTTTATCCTAGACCTGATCACCTTTTATTCCAGAGTTTGATCATGCTGATGTACTCATCTAAAGCTAGCTCACCAGGTTCACTCATCCTACCATCCTCATGGAAGATTCGTTGTGTGAATTGGAGTAGCTATTAAAATGTAGTCAAACAGTGACAGCAATACTTCCCAGAGGAGCCATATTTTTGTGTGTCCCACTCTGAGCAACTTCTCAAAAAAATGGGTTGGGGCTCCCCATCTGAGAAACCGAGTGAAGGTCTGCAGGTTGCAAAGTGAAATATGGAATCAGAAATAGAAATGAGTGGCATAAATAGATATTTCATAAAAGTAGATTTCTTTCAGCTACTACTGGAGAATTTAATAAAAAGCATTTGAAAAGTTAACATTTAGGTTTCATTTTTAGAATGGATACATTTAAAAGCAGTTACTTATTTTGCTATTCTAATTAATTTTTTATTATATATGAAAATGAAATTGTTTTACTTTTCAAAGCTTTGTGAAACAAACTTGAAGTTATAGGGAGGTAAGCCATCTCCAACTCTGCAGGTCAAACAAAAGTTTGGGAAGTACTTTGAATATCTCATAATATAGACTGTCTTAACATGAGAACTTTGTTTCATATTCTTTGGTTCTATTTCCTAGTGGACACCACAAACCTCATGTTTTTCTCTTATCCTAAAACAGTGGAAGGTAAAGAGTGGGTACTAACTTGACTTCTAAACAGTGGTCTGCTGTTATTTTAACAATTTTTTTTAATCTCTTAAGATTCTCACCTTCATTTACTAAATTATGACTCACTTCAAATTACATAGTAATCATCAAAGTTAATTGGTCTTAAAATTGTATTTCCTCCCTTCAGCAAGCACTCATTAAGCATTGAGAATGAGTGTTTTAAGATATAAAGAATGAGATCGGTGAGTGATTTAAAGGTGGTTTTGAAACTTGGATTTCATTGCAGTTTCAGATTTAGGGGTTAAGTTCCTTTGATCCAGGGAAGGGACTAGGCAGCTGCTATCATTTAGTTTCCCAACAAGGTCAGGTGTGTTGGGAAGGGTTGTAACAGCCCTGCACTCCTGGCCGAGGAGGAGTAATGAGGCGTCTGGTGGAGGGAGAAGAGAGAATCGTGAGGATGTGCTGAGGTCAGTGCTTGCCTTCCCCCTCACCTCAGCTAGTTAACAGCTTATGGTTCTGGTCTGCCCTGGCAAGAACAAAGCATGTTAGACTGAAAGGTGCTTCTGCAAATAGCAGAGGTTCTTAGAGGAAGACAAATATATGAGGGGGTGGGGTGGGAGGAAGTGGACTATGAATATGCAGGAAAATCTTGTTTTAAAAATATAACTTTAGGGGTAAGGGATAGGATATGCAAGCAAAATTAATTATTTTAAAATGAACATGTATTTTTATTAACTTTCAGTTAAATATAGATTAATACAACCAGCTCAACATAAGCCCAGGTCTGTGGAGAGAGCTAACTCAGGCATTCATTGTCTTGTTTATCTATAGACTGGACAGAACAAACCTTTCCTGTTTTGTCGTCCTTGGTTTCTTAACTTAGAATAAATTAGACAAAAGGAAGACACTTGTCTTTGTATACCTGCAGAATTAAGTTATTGCTGTTAAAACCTGGCCTTTTCACTAGTTTTTGAAGAGTCCAGATGCTTGGTAGCTGTTCAGTAAATTGTTTTTAAATTGAATTTGTTCTTTTAAAATCCTCAACATCTCTAGAAAGGCTTCTTTCAGTGAATAATGGAAAGTGGTTGGGTTTTTTTAAGTTAGGGAACTTCTCCATTGAAAATAATTTGAACATGAACTTACTGAAGTTTCAATCATGTGAAATGGGAGCAAAGTAAACTGTACACACATTTATAGCCAATGGTCCATTTTGGGAGGCCGGGGGTGTCTGACAAAGAAATTAGAGTAGTGAGGTTTGGGAAGGAAATGGGATTTGTAATATTCTCTTCATGTTGTTTCTCTCCTGGGTCATGGTAAAACAATAAATGATCATCTCTAGGTAACAATGTCTGTGGTATTTTTTTTTCATCCTTGGTTGCATAAACAATTTCATAGTTAACTGGAACTATGACCCACAAACAACCCAAATGAAATTGTTTTAAGTCATTTCACCAGAACTCCCAATGAAATGCCACCTTAGAGCTCTGGCTAGGGAGCTTCTTGTAAAGGGTGACAGGATGAAAAGCCATAGAATAAAGTAGCTTTTTAATCATTCCTCCCCCCCAAAAAAAAAAAAATTTTCTCACTAGATGGAACCATTAAAATAACCTTTAAGCAACCTATGGCCTGGAAAAATCCTAATGGTGAGTACTGCATGAAATCTGAGTTTAGATCTAAACTGACCTCTAACCTAATAACCTTGTTTTGTTATTACATAATATGTTGAAACAAACAGTGTGATTTTTTTAAGTAAATAAAAGGTGGCACATGTGAAGAACTATTGTTGTGCAGTTATCTTCGCAAGCAAATCCTGGTTCAGACGAACTTCACCCTATCCTGTCCGTCTTAGCCCGCATCCTCCAGAGAGCAGAACCTGAGGTGAGGTTTCTGTGCCGGAGATTTATTTTAGAAAGTGATTCCCGAGGGCAGAAGTGGGGCGGTGGACAGCAACGGGAAGAAACCAGTACATTATTGAAAATGGTCACTGCTGTGGACAAGGGGCCCCGTGAGAGATTCAGGTCCCAAGTTTAAAGGCCTGGATGTCAAGAGGACCAGAGTCTTACAGTCCCCCCAGGGCAGACGAGTCCCAGGAATCAAAGAACAAGGTTTACACCTACCAAGACTTCTCAATCTTTCACTCTGTCCAGTCCAGTTCAAACCCTAGACTGCCTTCCTCCACGTCCTCCATTCCTGTGCCTCAGTTACAGAAAGCTGTGGAGGAAAACACGCAGACATGGCCACCTTCATTCTTAAGAGTATTCCTGCCTTAGTCTTGAATTCACAGTCTAGGTGTCTTCTGCTCCCCAAACTCCCATGCCTACCACAGCTTCACCTCACCTTTTCTCGGCAGTCACACTGCAGTATTCTTTCCCAAGGGCCTCAGGCCATCAGATGTGCTCTACTTTCTGGAATTGCCTGCCCCCCTGGAGCCCCTTGCCTTGCCGCCTGCCAAGGGATGTGGCCTTGCTCTAGGCTCCTCCTCACCCTTCAAATCTGTTCTATGTTTTGTTTTGTTTTTAAATACATTTTATTGATTTTTTACAGAGAGGAAGGGAGAGGGATAGAGAGACAGAAACATTGATGAGAGAGAAACATCGATCAGCCGCCTCCTGCACGCCCCCCAGTGGGGATGTGCCCACAACCAAGGTACATGCCCTTGACCGGAATCAAACCTGGGCCCCCTGAGTCTGCAGGCTGACGCTCTATCCACTGAGCAAAACCGGCCAGGGCTCTGTTCTATGTTTAAATGAGCATAAACCTGTAGCTTTAAGGAGCAAAACCAAATTTTAAGTATCACTTGTTTAACCTTGTCCCTTCCATTGAGCTACCAAATTCCTCTACCAATTGGAGCATAACCACTGTTTCATCTCTTCATTGTTATCCTCCCTCCTCAAGCCTCTGTAACTGAGCTGTTTTCTCAACCATGTAAATGGTCACCGGTGTTCTTGACTATTTTTTTTTCATTCTTCCTTACATTTCTATAATATTTGACCATTTCCTGTCAGTTCACATTACTCTGTCCTTCAACTTCTCTCTTCCTCCACTCATCCTATATAATAAAGAGGTAATTTGCGGGGTGCAGTTAGGGGCGACCAGGCAGGCAGGCAGGTGAGTGATTAGGAGCCAGCGGTCCAGGATTGTGAGAGGGATGTCCAAGGGGTCCCAGATTGGAGAGGGTGCAGGCTGGGCTGAGGGGACATCCCCCCTCGCCCCCCGCATGAATTTCATGCACCAGGCCTCTAGTGAATAATAACCATGAATTTTCTCTACATATCAACTTTGTGAAGACAGTTGCTCCATTTTACAGCTGTGGAAACTAAGGACTGGAAAGTGAAGTGGTTTACCCATTAAGTGGCAGAACTAGATTTTAAAACCAGATGCGTCTGACTCCAGCAACCCAAGTTCTTTCCACCACTTCATTATCACTTGTCCTTTATGAACTCAGTTATTCTCCCTCCATACATCCATCACCTATGGTTACACACACAGGCATTGGAGCCAGTTCATCTAGAATCAAATTATCTACCACTTGCTGTGTCTTCGTTTTC